GTGTGGCTCGGGGCCTAAGGGAGAGTTCGGGCTCCTCGTAGGGAGTTCGAGCTCTTAGTAGGGAGGTCGGGCTCCTCGTAGGGAGTTCGGGCTCCTCAAAGGGAGTTCGAACTGCTGGTTTCTTCCCTTTGGTGCTTGCACCCTGGGTACGCTGTTTTAAGTGCCGAGCTATTTGTTTTTGCCACGTGGAATGATTGCGAGGTCGGGCCAAATCTTCTTTCATCAGTTTACAACTCAGCTTTTTGGAATGTTCCAGGTATTAGTTTTTACAGTATTCTCATTTTGGATTTGCTGTTTTTAAGTTTTAGTCTTGTTCTGGTTTATGGGTGTTTTTGAACTTTTGTCTATTTAGTTACAAGGGGGCTCTTGTGAAGCCCAGATTTTTCTTTTGTGGTTATTAGTTATTTTTTAAGAAGTTTATTATTACTTCATGCGTTGTTGCATGTATTTGTTCTTGGCTGTATTTCAATAGCAACCGTACACATAAGCCTTCTTGAAGAAACATGAGGCCTATATGGTTGTATTTCTTACTTGAGAAGTATTTTGTTATTGCTATATTCAGGAATGAGCTTGTATGTCAATTGGTTTAAGGTCCCGTTCGCTTTTTGGTAAGTTACTTATCCGGGTAAATGCAATTACCTGAGTAAGTTTTTCCTAGGAAATACTTACTTGGGGTAAGTGTATTTATCCATGTTCTTTTATTTCTCATGTAAATAAGGCAATGACCATTTTAGTCATAAAATCCATTATTAAAAAGGGTATTTTTGTCCCATTCAAGTGTTGGCGATTTTCCCTCTAGGTGGGAAAGTTATTTATCCACCTAGGAAATGGGTATCACTTACCGGTAGGAAAATAAACTTTTCTTGGTCCCCACATAAATCTGAAAAAAGAACATGAGATTCTTGGTCAATGGGAACAAAAATCCCATTGACCAACTTTCACCCCTCTCAAAACCTGAAAAAAGAACACCCCCTAAAAGGAAAGTTCACTATTTTTTTTCCATAAGCTTATTAATACTTGATGTATGTTGCCCATAATTGTGTGCTATGAAGAGGAAGAGAGAGAGAGAGAGAAGGAGAAATGGAAGAGAGACAAGAAAGAAAAGGTGAGGGGAAGAGAGAGGATAGCAAATAGTGAGAGAATTTCTAGAGAAAGGAGAAAAGAAGAATATAACATCTTTGATATAATTGACCCAAATGGATGTGAATGACCCAACCTAACCCAACCCTTTGTATTTGACCCAATGGTCAATCAACCCATATTCAACCTTCATCAAGGATGGATTTTAGTGGGGTTACATGCGTTAGTTTTGGGTCATATATTGCCATCTCTAACTTGTCCAACCATTCATTTAGTGACCATGTAGTTTATTTTTTTTGTATTTAATCATTTGCTCATTTTAGCTAAATCTGTCTTATTGGTTGAGGTTTTTCATATAAAACTATAGTGGCCATTTGAGCGATTTTTTTTTTGGATAAGCTGAGTGAACTTAAATTAAGTTCATACTAGATATGTGATTTATTATAATTGATGTTTCTTTCTAATTATATAGGAGTCTGTTTTTGTAAATTTTGACAAGTATTTTTGATGATGGTAGATTTGGCTCTCCACTGACATCATGACACATGGCATCTCGGAACAACTGGGTGACACCCCAGAACCACCTAAGTGACAACTTGTCTTAGCCAAAATGATGGAGTCCCAACTAGCAACCCGGTGACCTAGCGACCTGCCCCCACCACCATCCTGGTGACCTGGCGACCTGCCTCCGTTGCCAACCTGGTGACTTGCCTTCGCCGCTGACCTGGTGGTGTACCTCCACCACCAACTTGACGATCTGCCTCTGCCACTGACTTGGCGACCTACCTCCTCCATTGACCTAGTGGAAACCTAACTAGCGACCTCGTCCACAACTCAGGGCGGCTAGCAGTGCCTCGTCCAGGTCTGACCTGTGGTACCTCGTCAGTACTGGCCGAAGGGACCTCGACATGAGGAGCAACCTCCCTCGAGGGCTTGCCGACCTGATTGAGGTCCAGGTGGTGATTTGCGAGACGTTCTTGCCGACGAATTTTGCATGCACGACTACCTCTAAGAACTTCGGAGTAGTTAGGCATATCTTCCCGGAAATCCCAGATGTGTTGCATGATGCCCACGTCAAACAATGCCTATATAAAGGCCTTACCTCCAACCTCAAAAGGTATATGCGCAATTTAGTTTTCGCAACTCTCTAGCTCGTCACCATTCATCTAGGCATCAGAAACACCTCTCCAGCTCTATACCATTTAGCTAGGCATCAGAGTCACCTCTCCAGCTCATCACCACTTAATTAGGTATCAGAGCCACCTCTCCAGCTCAAGACCATTCAGCTAGGAATTAGAGCCACCTCTCCAGCTTGTCACCATTCAGTTAGGCATCAAAGCCACATCTCCGGTCCATCACCATTCAGTTAGGCATTAGAACCACCTCTCCAACTCATCACCACTCAACTAGACGTCCAAGCCACATTTCAAGTAGAGATTATTCAATCAGGCATCCGAATCACCTGCCAGGAACTGCCAACAACATGAATAACTTTTTATTTTTGGAATTATATGTTTAATAACTTTATCTATAAGATAGTTCTATTCGGATACATATAAAATTTATATTTCTTCTCTTTATTAATTGGTTCATTCCAACAACACCAGATTTAAATCGCCTACCACAATTATTATTATTATTTTTTCTTTATTTTTTACTCTCTCAAATCCCAATTACTCGGTATTACCCGCCTGTGCTCAGCACGGGCGCCCGTCGCTAGTTTTAATTTAATCAAACCAAATGGCCCCATAGATGGTGCGACCTGCGAGCTGCAACCTAGTGATAAAACAGTTGTGTCTGGTCCAAGTCGTCTGGCAACAACATACATGTTGGAGTTATTTACCAAAATGCCCCTGATGAATCATTCTTCTTGTATGCATAAACAAAAATAGGCCCACACGGGTCACAGGTGTGGCACTAAGAGGGTTTACTTGTATAAATCTCGTGTCATCAGCTTTTTCAGAATTTGGTGAAGGGAGGGATGAGAAAACGAAATTCTTTCCGACACCCACCCACCACCCATGGAAAGAAAAAGCCTAAAACATGTGCTTTGCCACCTGGCATCCGATTTAAATAACACAGATGCTTAAGTCAAACCAATACTTCAATTTTTTTGGCGCAGCTGAGCCAAATGCTAATCCATCTATGCATCCTAAGAAGGTCTCACGAAGATCCCAAGTATAAGAGAAATGAATACACGTCTCAGCCGTTGAGACGTGGATTATTCTGCCGCCCGAGGCGATCCGACAATTGAACCATCCACATTACTCACCGGTCGACCCCGAATGGAGAGGTTTTGGTTTTGGCTTTTGGGAGTAAAGAAAAAAAATTTCCTGTTTTTTTTCGAGATATCATATCTTTCCGACATCATGGATTTGACGGAAACGCTCTAATATGAACGGGACAATAAGTCCAGAATTTCAGATTTTATTCAACCGTGACGGCGACCGTTAAAAATCACAAATAATCGAGGTTAAATTATTTATTAACCAAAAAAATATTTATTTATGTAAACATGAAGAGAAGGGAAATTTGAGCTGAGGGCCAACAGATTTGGACCACGAGAAACATCGGTTTGATTTTTCACCGACCGCATATCAGAAAATCCAGATCCGATCGCAACCTTTGCTTCATGTCCACGTTTTCTGGGCCCCACATTACCCCTCGTACTATTCCCATGTGCCTGCTCGACACGTCACCCTGTCGGACATTAGCCGTGACTGACAAGTCCCTTAAAAAAAGGTCACCACGTCAGACCCGCGCATCACATGTCTCTTTCCCTGCTTTACCACAAAACAAGCATCCTCATCTATCCAACTTCCCATCCGACGAACCACGTTTTCCTACGACGTGGAGTGTCTGGTGCTGACGTCAGGACGCACTAGACCATCTGTAACATGCCGCTTTTAATATCCAACCAAGCATGGATGTAAGCTCGTCTTGAGAAAAGGGCAAGGGCAATCGACCAAAGGGAGATGGACACGTAGAATCCCCCACGTGGGCTTCCGTCTTGACACGTGGGCCATTTAAGTCTATCTAGAAAAGTCGCGGGTCGTGAGGCATGAGCTGGCGAAGGAAGAGCCTCGGGTAGTGGACCCCATGCTGTTCGCAGTCGGCATGCGAAAGGCCAAGTCAGGGTGGGGCCCGCAACGCACAGCCCACCGACATCTGCGAAAGCTGGTGGGGACCTTTCCGCGTACGTGTTAAAGATGCTTTCGACGAGAGAGAGAGCAGGCCTCGCTGGCGCGGAGATCCGTACTAACGGGCTGCGTGGCACAAAAGGAACCGCTCTATTGGTTCCATCTAGGCCGTTAGATTAAGGGTTACGTCAGTGGTGGGCCCCATATAAGTAATATGTTAATGCTATTTGAACCGGGTGCCACTGCATTCACACGTGGTCTCTACAGGAAATAAACAAAAACTATAAAGATTCAGCATCTGACGTGGACGGTGGAAGGTGTGGATTGAAGAGATCAGAGATCACGCCTTTTTTCCTCGTCAAAACCTGTTGCGTCAGAAATGGAGTGCGGTCTGCGTCCAGCGGAAGGGTCGAGACTCAAGGCTCCGGTCCAAATTACTAGAATGCCCTCAACCCTGTTACGTACTCCCTACCCCCCCCCCCCCCGATCCCCTCCAAGAAAAAAATCGGATTTCTGGTTTGCTTACTTGACACTTCTTTTTAGTTGCATGGATGGAATTGGGATCTCCTGCCAACAAAACAGTTGCAACCCTATCAGCATGATCCAATATCGCACATTCTGATCTGACAAGATAGTGGGCCCTACCATGTATGAAATGGAGATCCGAATCTATGATCGACCTCCACTGAATGAGAACCAGACGGTCTTTGGGCTGGAATGGATCAATGGAAAACGGGCTTCCGAAAAAGCAAGTGTGCATTGAAGTTGGGGAGTCAAGCCTGAAGACGGAGTCTTGTTCCATTTTTCAATGATGGCAATTGGATCCCTGTTTCAGCCCAAGCTCACGCGTCCGAGTCTAAGCATGTGATGGTGTCTCAGTTGTAACATTAATGGAGTGGGAGTCCTTCTCCTCCTCCTTAAAAAAAAGTCAGAAGAAATAGTTCAATAAAGATTAAAATTAATAAAAGCAATATCAACAAGGCATGGAACGAAAATGGCACATCATGTACATTGCTCTAGGTGTTTTGCAAAGCTGGGCCGTGACTCGTGTGTGGAATCTACTGATGATGGGAACAGAAAAGAAGTAAGAAGCGAGCAACGTATAGGCAGGCAGGGTCTTTGGACCTTGGACTCCTTATAACTTGCGCCTTGATGTAACCCATCACCTGCCAAATTGTTTTTCTGCGAATGGTTAGCAGTTTAAGTGGGCTCAACTCTCAAGTCAGTGTTGAGCACGGACTCCTTGACGTCAGCCCTATTTATATTTATTTCATTTATTAGAAATTATGAATAGAAAATCAGAGTTATGTATTGTATTTATCCTCTTTCAAAGCGGACTGACTAGTGACTCCTAATCTCCCCACTCCCCTGCTTTTACTTGCTAATAACTCATAAGCATTCAACGCTAAATTCAACTAATGCAATGATATAATTCCGAAAAACCGGCTCGGTCAGATTCATGAATGCATGTAACAAAGCAACGACGAATGTCATTGTATTTGTGGGTGGGTGGGTGAGTCTCCCGACAAATCAAGATGATATGTTGAGCAAGAAGGATATGGAAAACCCCTAATATGGAATAAAATTTATCAGGCTGAAATATTTTTTTAGTATGCATTAGAAATGTCATTGTATTTGTTATGGGCAGATATTTTTCAATATACGACTGGAATGAATTATGGGATACTATTGCGTTGCCTGTTCTTATTTATAAATGAAAAGGTCAACACCCATCCCATGCAGATGCAGATGATTTGTAGTGATGAAGAAGAAACATTCCTCTCATACGGGGGCTGCATGAATTTAATTTAAATCAAATTACAAATATCTGGATTGGGTCCCATTCCTTTCTGCCTAATGGACCCATGTGTTGTTGAAGCGGCAACATCATACTATATACCAGTTTTTACCTTTTATGTCACCCACATTGCAATATTACCTTTTCTATGTATTCATATGTGCTCGCATATATAAATCAGTTGGGATCTATTAGGAGTGGCCACGAGCTGAGTTTTTCACGAGTTATTCGAGCTCAGTTCAGTTTGGTTTCAACCGAGTCTAATAAAACTCGATTTATGAGGTTTGCGAGCCGGCTCAAATAACTACATATATACATACATAATGCTTTTATTTTTATATATAATAATAATATCTAATTATCATAATATTTAATTTTTAAATATCAAATAAAAAATATTTTTTATATATAATTTTTTTTTATTTTTATAAAACATTCCTTTTCAATTCGAATTCGAACCTTATACTATCTTGACAAGCCAAGCTCGAATAGCTAACTATTCAGCTCGACTTGCCTGAATCCACCCCTAATGACAATTATCTTAAAAGGTTTGTCTTTAATTTTTTAGAATAGATTGAAGTATTTAAAGAATAAGTGTCAGAAAACATGGTAAGTACATAATCAGTATTCTCACTGCTGTGTGTCCACTTGATACAAATTAGTATAAAAGTATTCATGAAAGCCCCCCAGAAGTCGGATTCAGTCCCAATACATGATTGCAAGTAATTGTGAGGATGGTATGAATATCGTTTCGTTAGAACTGATTCCAATGTCCTGACCCACAAAGAATAACAAACCAAAACGATAGAGAGAGAGATTATGAATTGTGTCAAGAGGAAAGCATTGAGAAGACAAATTATATCTTTATTATTTTATCTAGAAATTTACATATGCCTTGTTCAATGATTAAGGAGAACGAGAGGAACACCATATATGTCTACTATCCATCAGATGATTTATGTTATAGACTTTTTGATCGCTTTGATTTGATGAATGAAAAGTTTTATCACTTTTATGCGGGAAAAATCTATGTTTAGCTTTCTCCTAACTTCGACGTTACAGCATTTCATCGTGTATCGCCCATCTATTTTATTTATTTTATTCGCCAACAAATCCACACAAGAGAAGAAATTGACCTTTGTTTTGCTGCAGATAAGCAAAACAAAATTACCAACTTTTCTTTTCTCTGCTTTATAAAATTATTAATTTTTCAAAACCTGAAAAGCCTTTTTGGAATATAGCACCCGTTGGAGAGGTCAGAGGCTTTTCATACAGCTGCTTACCGCGAGTTCACATTGGCACCCCACAGAGCATGCCCTAAGTATATATCTCAGTGTGCATTTTGTAATATTTCCTGTAGTTGTTGTTATTGGAAGATGTTGGCAATACAAAGTTGACACGTGCTATTCAGAACCCGTGGGGTGCGTTCTATATATGTGGGGTATTAATGGAAATTCACTTAACGCATTATAGGTTCAGTTTGGAAGGAGTACTAATGTAAATATATAGAGTGTAAAATCTTGTATTTTGTATTATTTTATATATATTTGTATTTGTATTCTTTTTAAATTGAGATATATGAATAAAAATCCAAAATATCATACAATTGTGTTTGGTGAAAATCTAAGAAGCCAAAAATAGGATTATATGATTTGTCAAATTGATTAATTGATTGTTTGATGAAATTAACCTAATACCAGCTCATATAGAGATGGCAACGGGGAGAGAGGGGTTTTGGAAATTCTAGACCCTACCTGCTTCCTTAAATCTCCCAATCTATACTTGCCCCAAATCCTATAACCAGTTGTATTTTGAGAATACAAACCCTCTCCGTAACGAAAATGCAAAACCCTACCCTCCCTGTATTCAAGATAGGGGTGGGTATGGTATAGAACCTGCATCTAAGTTCCTATTATTTATTGTCATATATAAGTAATTAATAAATAAAATAATACATATAAACAACAAAATTTCTAATTATTTGATTAAAATATGTAAAAAATAGATAAATTATCAATTATTCATCACATAAATTCAAAATACAGCATATACTACATAAAAATTTATATATTATTCTAATACCGTATTTCATCCATACCTATACGGATTGTAAAATCCCAAAACCCGTTTAACGAAAACCCATCTTTCAAAAACATAAATATACCCCATCGAGACACGTACCAGCCGAATAAAATAGAAATTGCCATTCCTAAATTCACAGCCTGTTTGCGAGGAATAAAATAGAAATCGACTTTCCGGAATTTTAGCAAATATTACTTTCAACATTCTCGTATAATAACCCAACTCCAAATGCTAAAATCTACATCCCGAAAGCCCTTCCAAGTCCCAAACAGGCACTTGAACGGGCAGATGGATTATGGAGTTTAATTCATCTGGATGAAAGGCTACTTCTTTTCGTCACCCGTAGAAACACATAACCCTATTGATTTCCTCAGATCTTAGGGGTATTTTTTGAAATCACACCGTTTCTTTAATTAATACTAATTAATATTTTAAGGTCAGAAATAAAAAGGATCTTACAGTAGGCAGATTGGAATGGGCCCCTCCTGTCCCGGGCGGACGCGAAAGGGCACATTCATTCTGGTTAATCAATCCTTTTTATATATTTTTTTTGCTTTAAACAAAACAACCACGTAAGCCACATGACGGAGGGGATTAGCTGGCCCTCGGAACCCCCAACCACGACGCTTGAATCGATTGTTTCCTGGACACGTGTACGGCAGAAATGACGCGGAATAATTTAATGTCCTCCACGAATATCGACGGCCAACTCAACCACCACCATTGCCTCCGTATATACATGTTGTATACACAGTCGGATATACGGACACGTGTTACATGACGTGGCTGTTGGCTTGGCGTCCCTCTTCTTCTTCACCTCTTCTTCCTCCCCACTTCTCTCTCTCTCTCTCTCTCTCTCTCCTCTCTGCGCATGGGAGCAGTTTTTTTCGTTTCCTCCCTCATTTTTTTATCCACGAGAGACGGAGAAACAGAGAATGCAGAAGAAGGGATAATAGGCTAGGCCTAGGGTTTTGGTTGCACTTTTTAAGATTTTTTCCTTGCAATAGTCCTTCTTCCGCTGTTGAAGACCTCGGAGGTTTATGCATAATCCTTTTTCTCTATTCATTTTAGAGGTGAAGAAACGAAGATTTGGAGAGATTGTTCACTTTTCGAACGGGCTCCATATTGCAGGTATGTTGGATTTAAAGTTTAATTTCTACATATTACATTTTGGAATGTTTTGTTTGTTGAAAAGGGTCGAAACTTTGAATTGAGAGCTGATCTAGATGTCTTGTAGTTTCTTAGTTCTGAATTGATAGTTTAAATCCCTGTACTATCCAGAAGTTAGTGTTTGGTTTCAGGTAGAGTTTTGGTGTGTCTTTTTTCTTATGAATTTTTTAATGTTGCAAAAGGGAAAAAAATTTCGAGATAATATAACTACTTTCTCTCTGTTCCTGGAGACAAGCAGAAAAATAACTATAGTACGTTAGAAGGAAAGATAGGTGACCAACAAAGCTTTCGAATTATCGGGAGAAAATAAACCTGAATCTTTATAAAGAGCAAGACAAGCAGGCAGGAAGACGAGGAGAGACTAAAAACAGGATGCAAGAGGAAACTAGAAATGCCTTCAAAGGAAGCCTTGGATTCACGGAGAATAGAAATTGTTTCATCATAACACATTAGCTCTCACTGGAAAGGGACTCCATCAGTTTTGCTGTAGAGATTTCACCTTTTGACGCAGAGAGGGAAAAATTCCAGGTTTTTATTTTTCCTTACTTACAAGGCTATTGCTGTCATTTTAACACACATTGGCGTTGCTTGGCAATTGTCCATGATCCGTCGGTCTGACATCCTTATTCCTGTCTGTGGGCTGTGAAAAGGCATTAATACCCCTTTCTTTGTCCAAAAATCGGTTCTTCTTTCTCCTACCCCTTTCTTTGTCCACATATCAGTTTTTTTCTTGCTCTTACTTTGTTTCCTTCTTTCTGATGTTAAGCTCTGTGCCTTTTATTTCTTCGCACCGGAGAAAAATAATCTAGGTTTTTGTGCATCTCATCTAGTTTGAGCTTATTATGACACAAATGGACGGTGCGTCTTACTGCTGCTTTGAGGTTGGGTTTTACGAGTTCCAGGAAAAGCTTGGCTACTAATAGAAAAAAGTACTGTTGAAGGATCCGTGATGCCAATACATAATTCTGATTATAGCGTTAGAGGAAAACCTCCTTAAGTCCCGATTTTCTAAGTAAATAAACTAAAAAAGAATAATCGAAAGAAAACCTGCTAAGTTCAAATCCTGATAATGATGGGGTTTGGGTCGATACGGGAGAGAACGGTTTGCATGTTGATTTTAACTGAATGGTACGATTTTTAGATTGAGGTTTTTGCTCCAAGCTATGGTTGACATTAACGTCTACCCGCCAAAAAGAACCCCCACCAGGAAAACATTGGGACAAAAAAAAAAAAAACTATTAGTTTATAACCTACAGTTTTGCTAATTGTTCTTATTTTACATAGCAAAGCTTACATGACTTTAAGGGGTTCTTTCATAGTGTCATAAATGATTCTGTCGTGGTTTTAGATTTCTTTATTTGTTATGTGTTTTCCGAATTCATTAACTAGAGTAAAATCGTTGAATATTCTTATATCAGCATTTTGATGGTGATACATCTGATTGAAGTTTATTTACTGTATTTTTTTTCCTGGACATGGGTCAATCTCCGTCAAACAGGTTCTATAGTTCAAGTTGGATGGTTTTCATTAATAAGGTGGCTAACCATGCCATGCACATGCAAATTAGATAAATTGCTTTATGTTCTTTTCTGCACATAGAGAAAAGGCATTGTTTTTGTTAAGATGATTAACGTTTATGTGCATATTTCATTATTTTGTCAAATATTCAAGTATAGGTTCTTATTTGTCTTCCAGTTTGAGTATTTATCACCATCATCATTATCATTGTCACTGTTATCAACTTATCATTACCGTTATCTATGTATTGTCCCTTACATTGAATTTTTTTGGGTAAGTTGTCCCTTTTATTGGTTATCTAAAGCCCAAACTTATACCAAATTTCCTAGATCCTATTTCATCATTCCTTTTGTTTGGTCAACTAAATCTTTGTATGGTTACTCTTGTTTAGCTGGCATCAATTTCAGCTTGGAACCAGGAATATCTTGCTGTGATAAAGGGTATTCACACCTGTTCTGGAGCAACTAACATTCTTTAGTTTGGAATTTGACCATGGGAAACAATGAAGCTGGGACGCCTTCTAAGTCTGAGAAAGCATCTTCACCTGCACAAGTGAGCAGAAAATTTTATTGGTCTTGCAGGGGAATAGATTTTCTTGTTCCAAGTTGGATGTAGTGTTGTTTTTGGGTAATGAAATTGCTGTCATTGACAGTTAAACAAACTGGACATTGATTTTATTCCAAACGATAACTATAAGTTAGTATTTTGGCAATTTGCTTTCTCATGATCAATATGCTGTCAGGAGCTATTTCCTCAATCCTCATGGATGTTCTTAATGTTCTTTCTTTTAACACTGCTTGTATTTTTTTATGCATCTTCTCTCCAAATGGTTAGTTAATTTCTTTTTATTTATCTATGATTCCAGAAATCACTATTTGGTTTTTACAAATAATATTCAAAACACACACACACAAAGTTTCTTGTATTGAAGTGATTAGGTGATTAAGAAACACTAAATGGAGAATGAATTATCACAGTGGGGGGGCGGGGGGGGTACAACTTTGACTCCCATGCCCGGTTTATTCTTGACTTTTTAGTGCCTGAATATTCATGCGTTTGGCAGGAGCAGACCAGTATTCATGGGTATCCTGATTGGGCAGCTATCCAGGTTAATACCCTCAATTTTTATTTTGAGAAAAATTCTGCAATCTAAACATTCTAATTGTTTACTTTAAGTAAAAAAAAAAAAAAGATTCACATTGTCGATTCCTATAAAATTATGAAGAACCCAAAGCTAATTTGCTACATTTACAGGCATATTATGGTCCTGGTGTCACCATACCACCACCATATTTCAACTCTGCAGTTGCATCTGGTCATCCTCCTCACCCATACATGTGGGGCCCACCACAGGTATTTTGTTAAGGGTTAGGGGCTGCTTTTAGTTTTTTTTTAGTCCCATTTGAAATCCTTTATATTTTGTATATTGTGAATTCTTTACTGGAAGCTTTTTCCCCTCCAGTTTCATTATTCGCTATGGTGTTTTACAACTTGACATTTTTATCATGCCAGCCTCTGATGCCACCTTATGGGGCACCTTATGCGGCAATTTACTCTCATGGAGGTGTTTATGCTCATCCTTCAGTTAGTTATGTAAGTCTGTTTTGCTTCCAGATCCCCTTCCTTGAGAACTTGGGCAGACAAATGCTTGTATCTTCTATATGTTTTGTCTGGTACTTTAAAAATCTGAATCATGAATATTATTGAGAACCGTCTCTAGAAACCAAATGAAAGAAAATAGCCTGAGCAAGTGAGCATGGTTCAAACTTCAAAGTGTTGATACGTGTGGATATGCAAAAATTGTATTTCATGTGTTCTAGTGTACGATACTCTTCTTCAATTTTTTTTTCATAATGAGGTTTCAGGGTTAGTTAAGATAGAGGGGGTTCTAATGATTAATTGATTACACAAAGAGACAAAACCCTAAATGGTGCTTCGGTGGGTTCAAAAGCTTGTACTTATTGTATGATATGCCCTGTTACATTGTGATATTTTGAATAGGGATGGTCATTTTCCCTGTCCCCAGTGGGTACCTGGCCTCCTTGACTCGATGGGGTCTTGAGGATGGGGAATGAAGTCCCTACCCTGCCCTAACCCCGATTATTATATAATATTATTTATATTATTTGTATTTAATTTTTTTCTTTATTTTAAGTAAACCTTTTTCTCAAAAAAACATTCGGGGATTTGGGTCTCTGATGGGGAACCTATCTTCATCAGGGATCAAGGACGGGGGTTAACTTTTCTCCCTGATGGAGATTGGGGTTGGGGATGCGAAGTATGGTCCCCACCCCGAACCCACCCAGTTGCCATTTCTGATTTTGAACCTTGGCCCTGAGGGCTTTTGTGTATCAGCACACTACAGTCTTATGAGCTCCCTCNCCTCCCTCCCTCTCTCTCTCTCTCTCTCTCTCTCTCACACACACACACACACATAAGCACAAAATAAAAAAAAAGAAAAAGAAAACTCAGCTTTTGATTGGGGTTTCAACCTGCATTTAGATTGAAATGTTATGACAGGTTTTATAAATTGTTTGTTGTGCGTCAGGGTTCACATGCACACGGTCCTGGATTTCCACCATCTCCTGTTGTGAGCGAGGTCATGGTACTGAAATTTATATGAACTCTTCCAATCCATATTATGTTGATGTTAACCGACTGTTTGACTAGATTTGATGATGGATGATGCAAGAAAGCTGCACCATATGTGTTGTATCCAATATGGTGAGATGTTGGTTCTTACTTTACTGTGATGCAGGTTGCAACCCCCTTAAGTGTGGAACCACCTGCCAAGTCATTAGGTAGCAAAGATCGAGGGTTAATGAAGAAATTGAGAGTAGGCAATGACAATGCTGAAGGTGCTGCAGAAGGTGCATCTGGTGGGCTGTCACAGAGGTCAGTTAACTACCATGAGACACATGGTGCATGTATATGATCTATACATGCTTCAGTGTGTTTGATCTGGTAGACCTCCTAAGTATCAATTATTTTGTCAGAACCAAGTTTAGTATATATATATAGCTAACATATTTATTTTATGACTACATGCATGCAGTGCAGAATGTGGTACAGAGGGTTCCAGTGATGGGAGCGATGGGAACACTGCAGGAGTATGCCCTTTATTTCTATTTTTTATGCTACATGTCATCTTTCTTAGTCCTTCAAATTTATGGGTAGTTAATTTAGGAAGCATAATGTTGCATGTCTTAAATGTTGCCTTCCATTTTCTCTGTCAGGGCAACAAATCTAAAGGGAAAAAAAGCTCTAATTGCATGCTATCAACAGGTATGAAGATGTTCTTTCTCCAATGGTATAGTACAACCTTTGGGCCTAACTTACCAAAGCAAAGAGCAAAGAGAGGGTTGGAAAAAACCCGGCATTGTTGATCTTAAACTTCTTTAGGAATTGATCACTTGAATCTCTAAACAGACTTATATTTATGTATGTTAGTTTGTCAATTTAGTAATCTCATTGATGGGGTTTAGATTATAAACATACATGGGCTCCTTAATATTTATTAAAATGATAACAGAATCAAAATATGAATATTTTTTATTCAAGGAAGTGTTTAAATGCTCTTTTTAGTAAAAGAAGGGTATTTAATAAGCCAATTACATATGTTCTTCACACATCTTTTGTACATATCATTGACAGTTATATATTTGAGAGAGAAGGGGGGGAGGAAATTGTTATGTTGCCTGTTTTTCGGTATGGTGCTTTTAGGGATTATTGAAGAGGAAGAGAATGGGGTTGTCAGACATGCCTCGGAACATAAAAGACAAAAAAAACAGGGAAGAAGTCCTTCGATACTGCATTTCAAAAATTTAGAACCATGGGTTCTGGCATTCTGGAATTTGCAGATTAAGCTTGATTTCCCTTTAAGTTCGTTAATTGACACTCTAGGAATGTTTGTGTCACCCAATGCATGCAGATTCTAGCATTAAAATCTAATCACTTCTCTAAGTATTCTTGTTTTAGGTTTGTTCTTTATAAAAATACTCGCATTTTGTGACATGACTCCATTTCCAATCCCTGTGCAAACAGGCATGGATGGGAAAGTTGAAACACAGGCAAGTGTCATGCCCGTTGCACAGGTGAATATAGCTTCTAGTGGAGCTGCTGTGAGTCTAGGAGGAAAAACAATCGGAATAGCCCCTTCACCTGGCATGGCCCCAGCATTGGAGCTCAGAGGTTCCCCTAATGGGAAAGCAAAAGCCAGTACAGCTACTGTTCCTTCTGAACTCTGGTTGCAGGTATTTTGCTTATACTTTCCTTTCAAACTGTAGATGATACTTTTCTTCTCCATGCCACTATGCTTTCTTTTTGTGAAGCAAAGCTTTATTGGCATGCTCTCTATGTTTCGTGGATACTGTATGAGTGCCAAAATCTGACATAGGTTCAAGGTGTTGGACTCAACAAACCTGATAAAGTAGGATTTGGGGATTTGAATGCTGCACTCTTGTTTTAATGTCATATCTTTTATGTTATTATAAATAATGGGATAATTGTTCAGAAAATAATTAGCACCTGCAATAATATGTTTCCATAAAGTAAAGACCTAAAAACAGAAGCAACCCTATAGGTTTTCCCTTTCAAATCTCTTTAAAATTGTAGTCATTTGAAATCTTGGTTTATTTAGGTTTGTTTGGATAGACTTCAGGATTTGTGCTTTGAAATCCCAAAACATTAATCTTAGGCTGTGTATTAGGGCTTAAACGTGTTTTGGTTTCAGATTACAATGTTTTCAAAATCAACTTTACCAAACACCGAAGATACTTTTTGGCTCAATTTTGATTTCTACAGTGCAGAGAAAAAAAGTAAAAGATTATCTAAATGGGCAAGGACTCCCAACTATAAGAATTGTCTCTACATAAAATAGATAATTGAAGACTTGTTAATGAATATGACTAATGAGTGTATAACATGACTTGTATATTCGCGTCAGCTGGTGATGCATAATTACTGACACTGCAAAGTGCAAACAACACGAAGTGAATAACTAAATGTTGTTTATACTAAATTATCAATATTATTATTATTTTGATAAGTGCTAAACTAAACTATCAATTATTACAAATTTACAAATATTTTATTCATGTTCAAAATTTTACCACAAGAGTTTGAGGTTCTTCAGTCACATATTACAGATGTGATAGGTGTCCCTCTCTGAGTCTCAGGTGTTGTCGTGTCAGTGTCCATGTGTCCAACACGGTTATCTTGCCCTTATGCTGATTTTGAAGTGTCTATGTAACATGACATGTTTGTTAGAATTTTGTTTAAATCCAGGTCAGTAGAGTTGGTGAGGGTGCTGACTAAAAATTTGACTCACCTTTATGGTGTTTACTTTCTGAGTTTTTCAGGTGATTAAATGGTTTTGGTCTCTGAGATGTCATGTTCTCTCTCTCTCTCTCTCTCTCTCTCTCTCTCTCTCTCTCTCTCTCTCATTTTTAAGAATGACCTGGACTATCTTTGGATATAAATAAATTGTTTGTAGAAGCAATGATGTACTGATGCTTTCTCCCATTGGCTATCTATTTCGCAAGGATGAAAGAGAGCTGAAACGGCAGAGGAGGAAACAGTCTAACAGAGAATCTGCAAGAAGATCAAGGTTGAGGAAGCAGGTATATAGAAAACATGAATATGGCCCCTTCTTTGACTCTTTCGTCCCTGTATGAGTGGATCGGGGTCTAAACTTAATGTCACTCTTTTCTTTCAGGCGGAGACTGATGAACTTGCAATGAAAGTTGAATCCTTGAGTGCTGAGAATATAGCCCTTAGAACTGAAATTAATCGATTGACAGAGAATTCAGAAAAACTGAAGCTTGAAAACGCTGCTTTGATGGTAATTTCTCCCTTATGATTTCAGTTCAGATGCATGAGCACATTTGACAGATAAGTCTAGCGCTTGGGCCATGGCTTATCCACAAAGGTAGTGCTTGAACTTGTGTGGGTAGCCGCACATGCATATTTTGGGCTAAGGCCAAGACTTTTTCTCTGAACCAGATAAAATCATAAAATATCCTTTACTCTTGGGACACAACATATCACATCCTATCAGCAATTGTGTCTATCATCTCATTGTGTTTTCTTTGGAAACAGCCTCTGTCCCTTCCCAGATCCCGCATTGGCGGGAGCCACGTGCAATGGGCTGCCTTTTTTATTGTATTCTTTGGACCTTTCAGTTGGTGGCAACTTGTTCATCAAATCAAAATCAAAATCAAAATCCACTGATTGGATAACCTTGTCCTTTTATCACATACCACCAACTTTTTTCACCAAGTCAAAATCCACTGATTAGATAACCTTGTCTTACATTACATAGCAGTTGTTGCACCCAGACAGTTTTGCCAACTGGGTAGTTGATCAGGTGTTTTTGTTTTGGGTACGGCTCTTTCCTCCTTTATGGTCGGACAGTGCTGGAGTCCCTCACCCTCATCCCTTCTTAGCCCGCTTAAACCATGGCCATACCCACATGCCACATGCATGGAGAGATTTAGGGGTCTTCTCTCAGGCATGTGAGCAGTAATCTGAGTCTTTACCTGTTTGTGAAGATGCAGATTCAACTACGTGGTTTAATTAATGAATTGGATATATGGGATGCGATGCAAAGAGTATAGACACACATTTTCTGCCTCTTTATCATGCATGTGGAAACTTATATGTGGACATCTTTACAGGAGAAACTGAAAAATGCAGAACCAGGAGAAACGACAGAAATGGTATCTAATAACACTGAAACCCACGAGGACGCGTCAATCAGTACAGAAAATTTCTTATCCAAAGTAAACAACTCGGGCTCTGTTAGTATAGATGACCCACGGGATACCGAGATCCATGAAAACTCTAACTCGGGCGCCAAACTCCATCAACTCTTAGAATCTAGCCCTAGGACCGATACTGTTGTTGCTGGCTGATAAAAAGAAACTCGGTCAGCCTCTGCAACGACGATTTTTATATTATATCTCACTTGATATTGTAACTTTGGCAATGTTTATAAAAAACCCAAAATTACTCCTAACAGTAACTGAGGTAGGTTTGGGGTTCAGACAAGGCGGGTGCAGCAAAGCGGTAGTCCTGAGCACAGCACAGCACGCTATGCCTTCTCATATATTAGTTGAGAGCTCTCTAATTCTCACTTGTATGTTTTTTAGATATCGAAGTATAACTAATTTGTGGTTTATTAGATTCCACATATTGGAGATGTACATTGAGCCTAATGTACATTGAAGAGGTTTGAGTGTAAGCTCCGACTCACTAGTATTTTTATGTAAAAGTCCACCTTTACCATCTTTTCATAGTTGATATAAATGTAATGAAATGGTGTACTGCTGTTGGAGTTGGACTACTGCGTCTGTTGTTTAAATAACTATTTTAATTCTGTGCAGTCAGTGTATTGCACGTGTGAAAATGACCAAACAATTCGTATTAGAACTTTTTGGAATTAAAAAATAAAAACTTCCCTACCTAGGTTACAACTTCAAACTTTGCTTGTTTTGATACAATCTGAAAACACTCCAATCCAATCCAACCTGAAAAAAATAATAATAAAATAAAAACGAGATAGGGTTAGCTGAACACTTTCTGTTAAGCAGGCTGTGGCATCAATAATAACACTCCACACCCCTATTAAAATTCATAGGGCCAATAATCATTCAACCTCAAGTATGGTCTCATGCTAGTGGTGCACTATCATTGATTCCACAGCCTGCTGCACAGCTTAAGTGTTCAGTTAATCCTCCAAAAAAAATTATATAAAATATGGTTGAGGAAAGGACAATGATGATGGGTAATTTGGTGTAAGCTATCATTATATTATTGTTTCTATGTAGAATATCATTTTGTACAACATTCTAGGAATAGTAATGGGTGTGGTTCGGGGTGAGGACCATACTCTCCATCCCTGAAAAAATGGCGATGGTTTAAAACATGGGAAAATAGGAGGAATAAGAGAGAATTGGTTAGACCTAGGGAGGCTGCCTATATGCCCACTGACAACGGATCATGCTAGATGTAGTTCGCCAGTGGGTTTTTGGCGATTAATGGTAGAGAATGGGAGAGGCGAGCAGTGACAAGAAGTCGGTGATTTCTGGGAAGAGAGGGAGAAGAGGTAGAAAGCAAAAGTATTTATTTAAAGGCCAGGTTTCAAATATTGATATGCCCGATACACCGATAGGGGCGTATCGGGCAGTATTGGTCCTTTTTTATTTTTTTTTAAACCAGTTCAGGGGTGCGATTTAAGGTTCTTTCACCCCCTGAACCGGCCAGAACCCTGATAAACCCTCTGTAGGGGTGTATTGGCCTGTATCAGCCGATATGTGTTGATATTTTGAACCTTGTTTAAAGTTATGGAAGGTCCTATTTGTAACAGTTTTGGGTTTCCAGTCTTCTGGAAACTTCTCATCTTTGTTCTTTACCAATTTCACGCTTTTAATATCCTTAGAAAGTTCCAAGTCTTGAATTGATGCCCACTTAATTAATTAACTTGAACCGGATTTGTACTGAGTCAGTTCAGTTGGGTTTATGTTCTTATATAAATCCACTGCCTTGCCTCACATGGGGAGATGAATCTCCGAATTCCTTTTTATTTTTAATTATAAGTTTGTCTTGGAAAAAGATATTTGCTTAAAAAAGGAAAAAATTGAATAATCTAAATTGGTTTTACATTAATTAATATCTATTTGAGTAGAAACAAATATAAATCTATTTAAGAACATAGACATATATAATATTTTAAAATATTTATTATATTATATACATTTTCAAATTTTAAAATATAAATAATATTTTGAAATTATTTAAAAATATGGTAGTCAGGGTTAGGGTAGGGACTTCACTCCACCCTCGTCCAATCCTGCCATAACAGTCTCCATACCCAGCTTAATTGGGTCAAGGAGGCCAGATATTTAGTGGGTATGAGGAAAATTGTCATCTCACGTGCTTTATAAATTTGGTAGGTAAGGTTTTAACCAATGTTGAGAGAACCAAAAAAGGGAAAGGTTCACAAGTTATAGGTTAAGCCGAAGGCCAGACAATGATGATGTGATATATATACTATGGGTCATATAAAAGTTATTTATAACATATTTTAAAATTATATTATATTTGAATGTGATGGATATGGAAAATAATTTTTAAAGCAAATAACTAAAATTCAAACCTCTTAATTCATTTTTTAAAGTTGTGTAATAAAATAATATATACAATAAAGAGCCATTTTCTAAACAGTAGTTTTTACTTTCAACCCAAGTCCATTTTGTTAGAGATAAGAACATGTTGCCATTTGGGTAACTTGGGTTGGAGTTAAGCCTGAGGTTTAATAGGGGGTGGGGAGTGGTTGGTTTGGGTTGTGGTTCATCCTAGCCCAATCTGATGTACCAAATCTAAAGTTTAACCCTAATTCGACTTCTAACATGAGAAGATTCTTTTTACCTTAACCAAACCCCACTATGAGCGAATGAGCAAGCGAGATGGTACCATGCTTAGCAAATTTACTAACACATGAATAAATGAATTCATAATTCATACTGTCAAGTGTCAACCCAATTGTTATTGTGAAAATAATGAAAAGTACAAAACTCTTGTTTTGTCAACAAATATATATATATATTAAAGGAATGATTTCAGGCCAAAGCCTCCCCCAGTCAGACATGTGGATTTCCTCCATTCAGACACCTATCATTCTAAAGATTTAAACAAAAATGGACATGTGTCAAATTCTGATTAGTGGTAGTTCAAGAAAAGAGTCCACTAACATGCAGAGTGGAGCCCACCATCATGCAGAGTTGTGAGAAGTGGGAAGCTCCCACTTTCAATCATTTCCTAAAAAAAGGAAACTGTGCTATTAATTACTGTTAACTACTAAACTAATTGATTAATTCCACCTATTGATTACTAATAATAATTATTGTTAATTACTAATTAATTATTGCTAACTACTTTTAATTAACTAATTACTTAAAATAATTTATTTTAATAATTATTGCTATTACTTAATTGCTGATAATAATTAATTAGTGATAATATTGCTCATTATTAATTCAAAATGATAATTAATAAATATTTTCATAATGGTAATTAATAATTCAGAAATAATCATTTTATATTTATATTAACTAATATTAATTATTTGGAAAATAAATATTTAATGTTAATTATTTATATTATAATTATTATCATTAATTATAATTCATAAATTTATATGAAATAATTAATTATATTATTATTATTATCAATAATTATAATTAATTGTTAATAATACTAATGATGATAATTATTACTTCGAAAAGTTAATTAATTAATGATAATTAATGAGTATTTTAATAATGTTAATTATTAATTGGGATATAGTCATTTTATATTAATATTAAATTCATATTAATTATTTTATAAATAAATAATTAGTGTTACATATTTATAAAATACTATTATTATTCTCCAATAAATACTTCATTTAGTGAAAGTTAAATTATAAAACTTTCAATTATTCAATATTGTTAAACTTAAAGAATTATAAAAGCAAATATTATTTTATGAGTTAACTAAAAATCGTAATTATAACAAATTAATTACTTAATAAAAAAATAGTAATAATAATAATAGTAGTAATTTTTAATTAACTAAAAATCGTAATTATAAAAAGTATTTTTTTCAATTATTTTTTAATTTAAAAAAATCATAAATAAGTAATTTTTATTATATCATAAATTAAATAGTAAAAAAATAAAAATATAGAATATTTTATAAATTTTATAAAAAAATGTGAACATGCATTAATATTATATATTTTTCATATTAAACAAAAATATGTTTGAAAAATAAGAATTATTGTTAGTAAAGATAGAAATGACTAAAATACAAAGAAAAAATGAATTAATGTCTTAATCATAGTCAATTTTCCTGATTAAATAGGTTAATGATTCAACCTGTAAGGTCATTTGGTTAATGACTATTATCATCATCATCATTTGATATTGCCACGGACAACACGCATGCACTTTTACTAATAGATAGATAAAATAGTTGATACACCTCAATACAGATGGAAGAAGAAACTTTGGCTGTTTGGAAGCTTCCTAAAAACATGGATGTGGGGTAAAAGAGCATTTAAAACCAATATTCTATCAGCCGAAAAGACAAACAGAAAACTGAATGGGGTAATGTGTCATGCTCATGCAGAGAGCTCTGGGCTGTTTTACTCAAACAGCCAAAGTTTTTTCCGGTGGGCACTAAAATTGGGCCATATATTCCCACTTAGGAAAAACCAATTTATGCTGGTGCATATGGCTTTACCAGCGTATATTCATAAAAAATGATAGATATATGAGAATAGTAGAAGCATATATATAAAGAGGTTCAGTTAGTCCAATAGCTATCACATTCTAACTCTCTAGTTGCTACAGTATTGTTGCGTATTAAAAGTTTGAAATAATATCAGCTATCCCAAAATCTGATATTATTTGTTTGCCGAGTTCTTTCATGGAAGGAAGCAATCGTCCTATCTCTATTATCGACGAATCCGTCTTCGTTGCCAATCGAATTTTATAACAAGTATCCCTACAGGTTTGAGTTTTAATGGGAGGTGGGGAAGATAGGTCCAGGCCCCGGTGGGCGATGGCTACCATCAATCCATCATTACCGAATGTCCTTACTCCGTCTTGACGCCGGAATCCCACCGGAGAAACTAGAAAGTAAATTAAATAAGATTTAACCCTGTTTAAAGAAAATGATCAAGCACAACCATTGTAATATATATATCAAACACTTATTTGATGTGAGAATCACCATCGAAATCAACTCCCTTAATCTTGGTTCAAGCTCAAGAGGTGTATTGCTATATATATATTTTCTTTTCTCTGGATTTCCATAATATTTTTGTTGGAAGGATTAATTGAAAGCCTTATGGGGCATTTTACACCATGAATTGTTTTTCTTGTTGTTTTGTTTAAAAACATATCAAAATCATCTAATTTGAATTTTGAAAACAGATTATTTCTTAAAACAAAAACACAAAAAGCATGCTATTGATTGTGAATGAGCTTTTTTTTTTTCAAACTGAGATGGTAAACATGTTCTTGGATTTCAGCTGGCTTTTAGTAACAGGTTTCATTTAGGTTATGTTTGGTTTGAAAGAAAAGGCAGGTACCTTTCCCTTTCTTTCCCCGTGTTTTCTTTCAAACCAAACACAACATTAATTATTTAACTAGTGAATGACCCCGTACTAAGTACGGGGAAGTTAAGTTTATATATATATAAACATTAATGAATTTTACTACCATTTTTTATTCCTGTTTATAAAATGCCATTTTCTAAGACACTCATTTAGTTTACGGGTGTACATAAATTGACCCTTA